TAAGTTCTGTTATTGAATATTATAGGTGTGTAAACTCAGCAAAATATTCTAAAAGAGTCCAGTAGCCCATAATAGCATTGGGTCTTCTGTTTAACTGGCAGTGTGCTATTATGTTTTGATGTCTCCAACCTAGGGCAGAAACCTGCACCATATATATTTCCAGTGTTTACTGTATGATATGGAAACTTGGTACATGTTCTGTTGTGGCCATGTTCTATGATTTTAGATACACTCTTATGTAACCAAACAGGCCTTAATTAACACTGCCTGCTTTGGTGAACACCGCCACTGTTCCTATGTGTGCATTTTCATAATGAAGCACTGGAGGGAGCTGTTGACATAGCTAATTCATCTCTGCAAGGTATTTTTGTTGTTGTTTCAAGACCAGCTGTTCAGTTTCTTTCATGCCCCTTTTATTACCTCTTTCTCTTAAATCTGGGCTCAGAATCTACGATCCGTATGAGTGTAATAAGAACAGTCAAGCTTTGAAGATAATGGACTTTTCCTACAGTGTTGACCTTAGAGTGCAGCTGGACATTTGTACTCTCAGTGGCTTTCGGACCATTCAGATCCTAGGACAAAAGATCCTGGCTAAGTGTTCTTCTCCTTACCAAGTAAGTGTAAAACAACCCTGAGCAAATATGGAAGGGGTTTCTTAGTATCTTCCATTCCTAGATAAGCTGTGAAAGCTAGTATAATAATCTAAGCATTTCCGCTACTTAGCATCTGTGTAGTCTTTACAAGTAACATTCTGTGACCTTAACAGTCTTTGTTCTTTGTACATCAGAATTGATGTTAGATTAATATAATAATGTATTTTTTAGAAAATATTAAGACAACAAAGTGTTTTATATGGTGACATTATATGCAAATATCTCTTCTGGCCGAGATGTCGACAAAAGGACTATAGATCATGATTGTCTTTTGTTTTTAAGGATCAACCCTAGGGTTGGCTCTATGGGTGATTTCTTAGGGCAGCTTCTCCCTTTCCTATAAGGAAAAGAAACAGTCCACTAAAATGTGTGTCACAGAAGAACTTTAAGCTCTGTAATATCTTCAACTTCCTGTATGAATAAGCTGCCACTGTAGCTAAGTGGTACGTTTGTGATTTCAGGTAGACCTGTTTGGCATAGCAGACATAGCGCATTTACTTTTGTTCAGCGAGCACCTGCAGGTCTCCTGGGATGGGTCCCACTGCAAACTTAGCCATAATACTTCTGAGTAAGTATTGGTGATTTGGGGGTCTTTGCCTCTCCAATTTTTTTCTGTCTTAGGTGCTATGTCTGCTTTAGTAACCTTAGTTTTCTAAGACCAAACGCTATGATTTTGGTAATTTCAACCCATTTTCATTAGCATACCAGCAGATTACCTGCTAATGAAAAATAAGATACAACATCAGACATGGTGGTGTATGCCTGTGATCCCAGAACTGAGGAGGCTAAGGCAGGAGGATCGTGGCAAGTTCAAGACCAGCCTGGGCTACAAAGTGAGCTCAAGGCCAGCCTGAACTTCATAGTGAAACTCTTGTCTCAAAAGACCAAAAAAAGACACAAACAGTAAATTAAAATGATAAACTGTTGAGACTTGAAGATATTCTAAACCTAGGTACACCATACAAATGATTAGTGAAAGCTTCTTAGTTTTAAGTGTTAACAGAAACATTTTAGGAGAATAATTTTCTTATCAATTGGTATTAGTTTAAGCTAGCTCTTTTAATAGCTGTGTTATCAAAAGTTATTAAGAATCTCTTGAAGAGAGTTAAGTTTCTAAATTATATACTGATTTTAGGCTATTATTTATATAATGAGTGGGTAGAACCAAACCAAAGAACTGAATCTCCTAGTGAAGAAGTAAATGATCTCCTAATAAGAGCTGCTTGGCCTCAGAACTATACTACTCCCTCAAGCCTGCTCATAAAACTTACTAAATATCTTAAGTTCCACTTCAGCTTTTCTGAGCTGTAACTTCCTACCATAAGCTTACCAGTTTATGACTTACAGGAACATTCTTTGTTTTGACAAAAATCAGTGTTGGGTTGTAGTGGCTGCTCTTCACTTTACCCTCCAAATTATTGAATTGCGTGGGACTGAACCCAGGGCCTTACACATGCTAGACAAGAGCTAAACTTGTGAGTTAATAACCTCAGCTGTTTTGGGTAGGGGCAGGGTCTCACTGAGTTGCCAGGGTGGCGTTAAACTTGCCGTCTTCCTACATCTGCCTCTTGAGCAGATGGGATTACAGGAATATGGTACCCACCTGGCTCTTTTGTGCACTCTTTAAATAAATTCTACATAAGATAGAGAATGAGGGCCGGGGAGATAGCTCAGCAGCATAAGCACCTGCTTGGCAAGCACAAGGTTCTGAGTTTAATTCCTGGTATCACAAAAGGAAAAAAAAAAAAAGAAAAGGGGATAGTCCACCAAGCCCAGTTGGTCCTAGTCTGTGCAAGTCTGGCTAACACAGAAATAGGTGAGGTCAATTGTGATTTCTTAAAGAGTCCTCCCATAGACAATGATAGTTCTCTGATAAAAGAAAATAATAAAAGCACACACAAAAACCATAGATTTAATCAACCTATTTCAGTTGGATTTAGGATTCTCAGAATTGTGAAGACAATAAACTACTTGGTGAGGGTGGGGGTTTAAGAAACTGGGCTCGGGGCTGGTGAGATGGCTCAGGGGTCTAAAGCACTTAGAACAAGCTTAGCAAAGTACAGGGACCACGGTTCAATCCCCCAGCACCACATGCCAGCCAGCCCTACCCCCTGATAGGCTGAGCTGGCCACACACACACACATACACAATAAATAAATTTTAAAAAATAACTTTAAAATAAAAAAAAAAAGAAACTGGGCTCTAGGAAACTTAGAGGAAATAAAATTTCCTTTTCTTCTATTTGTAGAGAAAAAGTACTTAAAAAGCGCTACCTTAGTATGCAGAGGAAACGCATAGGTTCAAATGAGAGCACTTCTTCCTCTGTGTGCACAGCGAGGTTCAGTGCCTCTTGCTGTGATAGACTCCTTTTGGAGTGTCCTGGGCTTTCAAAGGAGTGTTTGAATGATTCCTAGTACTCAAGTTCTAGGTGTTACCTTAAATCCCCTTTATGCATAAATGTACTGCTGAGTTAAACTCAACTAGAATTCTAATTTTTCTATACCTAACTTTGATGGAAATGGTTTTTATATATTTTTAGGCTAAAAGATGGTGAAATGTGGAATAAATTCTTTGTGAGGATTTTGAATGCCAGCGATGAGCCCACCGTGTCCGTTCTGAGGGTGCTTGCAGCAGAAATGAATGTGGCCTTTGACCCCATGTTCCAGAGCCACCTGAACAAAGCCTTCCGGAAGATAGGGAAGTTGATTAGTCCTGGGGCTTCACTCTTTCAACGATAGGCAGGTCTCTCAGTTCCCTGCCTAGAACCAATGGTTACATAAAGCCCTGGTCTGTACAGGCTGTTAGTTTAATTTCAGGCACATTTAGATGCACTACTAGTACTTGTCTACTTTGAGTCAAGGTGTATTTCTGCGTGATTGCCTTTTAAACAGTGGTGTACCTACTCTCAGCCTTACCTAACTGTAACACAGAACTGTTCTGTTCTAAATGGGTTTCCTTAGGCAGGTACTCTGTTGTCATAGGTCCTTTGTTATCTGTCCTTGAGCCCTTTTGTCTCTTCCCTGTACTTTTATATTTTATATTCATGGTTATTACTGTGTGTTTTGTAAATAAAATAATATTTGCTAACTTTGTGTTTCTACTATTTTGTCTACCTTTTGCAAACTACAATAATAAATGGTTTGATTTTGCAGAAAGGAGCTATGATTTTAAAGTTATGATAGGATTAGAACAAGACAGAATAGCCAGACATTTAAGTGTTTCTAGCCTTCCAGTAAGTGGTCTAGGGTGAAAAGTAGATAATATGAGGTACCAAGTGGCAAGATTGTGTTTTGTGTGTGGCTTTCACTTTTATTCACTCAGTAGGGCTTCTGTTACTGAGTCTTTTGATTAGGAATGCGGTTATTAGCAAGAAAAAACATTTGGAAAAATATTTAGCCTTTCAAAAAAAGGAGTAGTCCCCACTGTATTCTCACTAGAGTGAACTAGAGGAGGCAAGCAAGGATCCATGAGAAATAAAAGGGGGCTTAGTTTAAAAGACTTAAGGAAGTAGGATTTGGAATAAAAAGTTAACTTCAAAGCATGGAGTACTTTGGGACAAAAGAGACCTAGGAGAAGCCCTGAACAGCCAAAAGGAAATCTGAATTATAGTTGGTCTTCACAATGCGGAAGAGAACTGACAGCAGAAGGCAATGAAAATTAGCTGTTTCATATCTAAGTATGTTCGTGCTGGTGTCTGATTTGTTTGTCATTCCAGTTGCCGCTGTCTGTCCTCTAAGATTGCTAGAAAGCCAAAGTATGTTTCAACTAAAAATATTTAAGCATATCTTATATAGTTAAAGCACTGAAACAAAACTTGGATCCGTGAGATAATAACTTAGAAATACTAAAACAGTTCTCTTCCCCTCATTTTCCAGCTCTCAGACTGGGCAGTAAGTTTAGATTTCTTTTTACCGTATAGCAGTGACTTCAGCAACCTTCCCTCAAGGCTGCTGTATGGACAAAGCTTTGTTTCCTAACTTTCACTCAGGAAATGGAGGAGAATCAAAAGCAGATACTCTATGAGAAAACTTGGAACTGTTTTGCAATTGCTCCTTCTGTCCCCCATCCTTTCCCACCCCAAACCTCGTCAAAAGGAGAAAATGGCTCCCGACCCGTTAGGACTTCCATATCTTAGGTTTCTTTCTGCCTAAGCTTAAAATCTGGATCCTTCCCATTTCCCTTGTATTTTATGCTAGTGTCTTGGGAGAAGGAAGCCTTTTAATTGCTTTACCCCCCAGAAGATCTGATTGGTTCCTATTCCCTACAGGGCAGGAATTAGCATAATGGTGGACCTAAAGAGAAAAGACACAGGCAAAAGGACAGATTTTTCACTTTTGTTTGAAAAGACCATGGAATGTATAGCACCTCGCCATTCACAAAGTGTGCATTCTCACTGTTAGCTTCACCCTCTTAAGACAGTTTTATAAGAAACCTTCCTTGCACATCAGAGAACTCTTCACTGATGCCAAGCCTGCGGTCCTGTAGTGGGATTACTTTGGACTGTTGGCTGAGCTATTATCTCAAGGTAGATAGGAAGCCTTTGAGAGGATTTAGCACAAGGCTCTTTGAAATAACTCTTGTTGATTGATATCTTTATATCAATGAGGTCTTTAAGCAAAGACAGCAAAGAAGTGCTTTTCTGTTGCTTCAAAGTGAAGACTTGTTCCTTTGTGATAATTTGTTTCTAATGGGGCTCCTAAAATTAACACTAGTAAAGAGGATAAATTATATGGTGAACTTCAACCTTAATGGGGTCCTTGGTTCCACCAAAGACAAAGCTATGAATATTTAATAGAATAAAAGCATTTCAAATCAGTATGGGAAAAGATGGATTACTCTGTAGCTGGTGTTGAAGCAATACATTAGTAGAGCTTGAAGTTTTTTCCAGTGCCACTGTTGATTCACATAGCAGCTGTTGTGAGTTACATAAAGACCCCTTCACCGGCGGTTCAGGACCTCAGGCACACCACAGCTCACCTGAGCTTCGGCCCCTTCCCTTAGCAGCCTTGCTGCCCCAGTGCAGCAAGAAAGAGGCAGTGGTCCTGCCTGTTTTGTACTTTTCCTGAAAATCACTTTGCATGGGTCAAAACTTTTAATGGAAAAATATGAAAATAGATGAGTTTGTAATTTTTTTTTCTTTTTTTTTTTTAATGTATTTGGTTCCGGGTCACACTGCACAGCTGGGGCTCGTAGTGATTCTCCTGTCTCAGCCTCCAGCACTGGGATTACAGGTGTGCGCCACCACACCCTGTCTCTGTGCATCACTCCTTGCGCCCGGGGGGTGGGGCCAGCACAGCAGGTGGTGCTGGGGATCGAACCTTGCACTTACCTAAGCAGGCGCTTAGTCTGCTGAGCTATCTTGACAAGCTATAAAGCAAACATAAGCAAGTTTGCTGCTGTTACTGTAGACTTAAAAAAAATTAACAAGGCCACCTCCAAACAATAAAAAACACCATAAGCTCAACCTAGGAAAAGTTAGTCATCCATTGGGATCCTCAGGCCCCTGCACATGTTCAAGTCTTGGATGTCCTGGTGTGATATCTGCACAGAACCGGGACATGCCCTCCCGTATGCTTTCCATCATCTCAAGATTCCTTGTGGTACTGGGGTTGGGGGTGCATGCCTGTAATCCCAGCACTCGGGAAGCTGAGGCAGAAGGATCTCATTGTGAGTTTGAGACCAGCCTGGGCTACAAAGTGAGCTCAAGTCCAGCCTGAACTGCATAGTGACACCCTGTCTCAAAAAACCCCTAAAAGTTTGCATTTTACAATGTTAAATTAGCAACATGCTTTCTCTACCTTTTTTTTTTTTTTTTTTTTTTCTTAATGTATTTGGTACAGGGTCTCATTACGCAGCTCTGAAAGTATAATTGTTGGAAGATGGAAGCTAGAGAAAGCATGTGTCCCACCAGTGAGATAGCTCCGCGGACTAAGCGCATGCTGAGGTAAGCACAGGGAACCGGGTTGGATCTCCCAGCACCACACACTGTGCTGGTCCCGCCCCGGGGCGCACTCAGCCAGCCACTGAGGGGCAGCGTTGTGGTGCATGCCTATAATCCCAGCACTCAGGAGGCTGAGCAGGGGGATTGTTGCAAGTTCAAGACCAGCCTGGGCTACAAAATGAGTTCAAGGCCGGTAAGACCCTGTCTCAAAAAGACAAATAAAATAAAACATAAAATAAAACCTATGGATGACTATAGAAGTTGGACATGGTAGCTTACACTTGTACCTCAGCTACTTAGGAGATGGAGGATTGCCTGACAAGTGTGAGTTTCATCCTCAGCACTATATAGATGGATAGATAGATTTTTTTAAGCAAGGTTGTAAGGAAATGTCATATGATGGTGCATACCTGTAATCCCAGCAATCAGAAGGCTGAGGCAAGAGGATTGTCCCGCCTAGACCACCAGGAGACCCTTCCTCAAAATACTAAACAAAAGGAAAGAAGGAAATGTGGTGATGCTATAATAAAGTTTAAACGGGTGACCACCTAAGCTTCACCGAGGTTGGCTCATGCAAGGAAATGACACCTAAGGGTGGGAGTGTAGTGCAGTGACTCGTGGAGATGCAGGGTGAGGTTGGCAGAAATATGAGTGAGGCAGAGGAAACGCAAATTAGCTATCACTCTCAGAAGGAAGTTTCCTGAGCCAGGGGCCTATCACCAACCAGATAAAACAGCCATTGCTGGGGTTCCCCAGACAGGCGCATCTGGTCTAGCCTGTGGACCAGCCTGGGTGCCACAGTGTAGGCCACTGGGGGTGGCCCCCATAGCTCCCTGTACCATCCCTCTGCTGTGTCAGATGGTTCATTGCCTTGGCCTTGTTCAGCTCTGTGCCTGACCTTTCCAGCCATGTAACAGATGACTCTCTGGAGACTCTGCACCTACCCAGCAAGTACTAGCACCCAAGTTGGATCCCCAGTACTGCATGCCTTCTTATAGCTGGTGTTATGATTGTCACATTGTGTCAACCTGAAGTCCAGAGACTTAACTAAGTAATTCAACAGTTCTAGCTCCTAGGAAGTGAAGGACATCCCCTTACCACTCTAGGATGTTTTTCACTGTGTCAACTTGAGAATTTAGAAATTTTAGTTACAGGGGGCCTGCGTACAATATGAGGGACAAAGAAAACAGGCCTACTTTCCCCCTTTCGCTCCTGTGGCTTTCGCTGTCTTCTGCTGCTTTGAGCTGCTGCCCCAGGGCATGCCACTCTTGCTTCAGAGCCAGTTGATTATGAACTGAAACCTCTACAAACTGAGCTAATAAGCCTTTCCTTCCTAAATTTTGGGTGTTGGGTATTTTGTGCCAGCCACTAGAGAAAAGTAAGCAAGACACTTGGCTGGGACTTTCATGTGTATTCACAGTGGACAGAGTCGACTTCAAAGGCCCGGGGCCTGCTTAGAGATGGCTCCCTGCCTGTGGTGCCAAATCAGACACTGCGGCGCAGGCTCTGAATGCTGCCTCTGAAGCCAGAACGCCTGGACTTGAGTCCTCGCTGTGCATCACTGAACAAATAACCTCGCTGAGCCAGTGTCCTCCTCTACAAGATAACGCCCCAAGTGCTCCCCTTAGAATGCTGAGAAGGAAAGCACAGGGACTTTAGATGCTGGTATCGATTACACTCTGATGTGTAACAGTCTGAGGTTCTCTGGCAACCTCTCAGGGAGTGGGATCTCAGCTAATTGATTGGAGCTTTAATGTCCTTTTCCTTTTCTTTTTGAATGTCAAATGTCTTCTGCACTTTATCATCATAGTCTTTGCATCAAGATTTATAGCAGTGATCACAGGTTTCTTTTTAAAGCTTAGTAGTATCACATGTCTTTCCTCATTTTAACTTTATATCACTGTGCTGGGGCAGAGGGCGGAACTCTTTAGGTGAAGACTGAACACACATCCATGATTAACTGGGCTGTGTAAATGTTGTTGGTGCTGTATTCTTCGTGCCATGTAAGCAGATCCAGATCCTAGAAAGATGTAATCAGGTTGTAGCTGATTTAGAAAAAGTGTGTAACAA